GGCCTGCGCTCCAGGGAGGACCCGGGGTGAGGCCGGGCCAGGGCTCCGAGGCCCTGAGCCGCAGACACCTGCCCTGTGCTCATCGCCCTTCGACGATAGGGGTGGACTGTCCCCCTGGGCCTAGTCTCTAGGCTGGCGTGGGCGCACAGAGAGCTGTGGGCCCGAGACAGTCAGGAGGACACGGGGTGCTTGCTCACCCACTCCGCTGCCTGCTCCTGCCTGTGCCGGGAGCGGGAGGCCACCCCAGGGATGCCCCTGAGCTCAGGGGGCACACAGCCTGGAGGGGGCATCACACAGGTAACCAGAAGGTTCAGTAGAGCCACAGGTGCTCCAGGCGGGTCAACACAGTGCTGTGGGGCACAGAGCGGGCACCGCACCCAGGTGAGGGCTGTGGAGGGGCTTCAGGGAAGGCGTCTGGAAGCGGCGACCTGTTCCTTGGGAACAGAGTCACAGACAGCCAGTGCTGCAGGGAAGACCAGCGAACCCAGACACCTGCAAGAGCAGGCAGGACATGTAGTGGGGTGAGACGGACCTGCACTCAGAACAGGGAGACAGTAGGGACTGGTAGGGAGTGTGGCAAAACAGAAGATGCTGGCTTCATTCAGGGGAGCAGCTGCCACACTGTATCAGTCCATTTTTGCTGAGGGAATGCTGGTGAGATTTTCAAAACAAGCCACATTTCTAGCTTCTATTTTTAAAAAGCACCATGTGCCCCAACCAGACATATTCAGGGGCCACCGGTGTATGTCCGTGGCCTCGCTGTGCATGTAAATCGGGCAAAGGCTGGGGCAGGGCCTCCAGCCAGTGTGGGGGGTTCAGGGAAGCTCATTTGCCAGGGCGAGGGGGTCTCCTGAGACTGCTGGCACGCCAGGGGGCAGCCGGGTGGCACGTGCACTCCCTCCCGTTCAGCGTGCCCACCCCTGGCCTCCCCGCCTCCAGGCGCCCGCGGTGAACGGGCGGTGAGAGCCGCACAGGAAACAGCTGGCGGTGCGGGGCCCGTTCTGGGTGACAAGGTGCCGCCCGGCTGAAACGCGCTGTAAACAGGCCAGTTTCCTCCCTGTGGACAGAGCGGCCCCGAGGGCCGGTGCCAGGGTCCCTGGTGGAGCCCCTCCTCTGCTGGGCTCACCCCCCGCCCCCCCCCCAGGGTGGACTGCGCCCCTGCTCTCGCCTCGGCTGGGGGCTGGTGCCCTCGAGGCTCAGACGAGGTGTTGCTTCGTCTCCGAGTTCCGCCCGGCCCAGCCCGGCCCTCAGCGCCTGGTGTGCGGGTCCGCGTGCATTGTGCCTTTTCTTTCATTTTTCCTGACACACACTGTGCCGTCCTTGCCGCACGTGTCAAAACCGGCCCCAAGGCCCCAGGGCCCGTCTCTGTCCTGGAGCTGACCGGGAGGCGAGGCACGCCCCTGCCCGCCGGCCTCTCGGGCCGCAGGTCCCCAGAGCGGCAGTGACTCCCAGGTGCAGGAAGGGTCCTGTGTGTCAAGGGAGGAACCGCTAAAACGAGCCGGGACTAAACTCTGTGTGGAAGCTCCGCCACCTCCGGCCCGTGGCTCTGGGCAGGCCCCACCCGCCTTGTGTCTGTGTGGCCGTCTCCGGAATGGAGGGGCCAGGCTGCCTGCCGTGTGGAGTGCTGTGCAGCACACGTGGGGGCCAGTGCGCAGGCACCCCCTCGTTCCCGTGGCTCAGCGTCTGCGGCTCGCCCACCCCCCCAGCGCGGTGACTCTCCCTGCCTCCCCGGGCCTGCCGGCTGCCTGGGTGGGAGCTCCCGCCTGTGGCGAGTCCCTTCCCTGTCTCAGTCTACCCACCAGGGGCCCGAGCCCCTGGACCTGGGACAGCAAGCACTGCTGTCTGCTAGGAGAGACCCCTGGGCCTCCCCAGCCAGGAGACAGGTCCGCTGGGGTGGGGTGCTGCTGGGCTCGGGGCAAAGGGGCATCAGTGAGCCAGCCCGCCTCTCACCCCGGCTCATCACCACGTCCACGTCCACGCGGGGTCAGGCCACCAGAGCCCAGCGGGACCACTGAAGCTTGTGGCAGGAAGTATAGATAATGCTCCCCCCCATGGCTCCCCCACCGCGGCCCGCACGTGCACAGGGGGTGCCTCCCAGGTGGCAGGCGCAGGACCCCACCCCCCTTTCCCTCCTCTGACAAGCAGCAGCAAGAGCCAGGGGGCACAGCCATCTTGCAACCCCTGGGGGAGGGGATACTAGAACTGAGGGGACAGTCTTGGGGTGACTGGGGTCCCCCATCTTTGCATACAGAGCTGCCTGGGGCCCCACCAATTCTAAGGCTTAGCCCATCACCTCTATGCGAGGCCACCACCCTGGCTGGGCACCTGTGATGCCCCTGCCCCTGCCCCGATGACCTCAGGCCCCGTTAGTTCCCGAAGAGCCCAGTTTTCCTGTGGCCGGAGGGAGGCATCGGGGTAGGGGCGGCGGGGGCCCGTGGTGGTTCTGGGTGCATGCCACCCAGGACACACCTCTGCTTTCTCATTTGCACAAAGACTGGGGGTGCAGCGATCTGGGGAAAGGTTACCCCAATCTCTACCCGTCACAGACGAGTGGGCAGACAGGGGGAGCCCAGCACCCTGCCCCCCAACCACCACAGAGCTCTGACCCCGGGGGAGGTCCCGCCAGCAGAAGCGTGTCCCCTTTCCCTTGCTGGCCGGGGGGCCCGGGCCTCCCAGGGGCCCAGGGCCGGGACTCCAGGCCGGGTTTGCATTTCCGTGCTGGTCCCCCACGTGGGTTTAGAGCAGCTGGTTGACAGGGGAGGGCAGTCTCTGCCTTCAGAGGCGGGGGGCACCCCAGGCTGCGGGTCCCCAGGTGGGGTCTCGGGGCCTCTGGGCTGCTTATCCCGGGCCTCACGCTGAGGCTGGGCCCAGGTGGGTGGGACTGAGGGTGGCTGGTGAGGGACACAGGAGGCTGGGGGCCCTGACCGGTGTGCTCAGTGGGTTGGGTGTCGTCTCGCAAACTGAAAGGTCGCTGGTTTGATTCCCCATCAGGGCACATGATTGGGTTGCAGGCCAGGTCCCCGCTGGGGGCAAGTGATCGACGTTTCTCTCCCTCTTTCTCCCTCCCTTCTCCCCGCTAACAATAAATAAAATCTTAAAAAGCAAACAAAAAAAAAGAGGCAGGGGAACCACAGGCCTGGTGGGTGGGGCAGGGGGACATGGGCCTGAGGGACACTGAACCTGAGCGAGGACCAGGCCTTCAGCTAAGACAGGACGGCTCAGGGGCCGCTCCTGCTCCCGCTCCCGCGGTGACCCCCTTGCAGGCAGGGACTAGGTCGGCGCCCTCGGTGACACAGGGGCTCGGCAGGCTCTGGTGGGGCGGAGGCGGGGCTGCGTGGGGAGGACCTCCTGCGTAGGAGCCTTTGTAGGCAGGACCCAGCCTTCTCCTGGAGGCACCCAGCTGTGTCTGCCAACGGCTGGGGCCGCCCCACCTGCCCGGTCCACCTCCGGAACCCAGGGCAGAGGTAGAGCGCCCTGTCTGAGGTCTATGGCCGACTCTGCCCTCCCAGCCACCCTGTTACGTGGCCACTGACCCTTGTGCACTTGCCAGCAGCCAGCCCAGGCCAGGAGGTCAGTGAGGCCCCAGCAAGCTGCATTGTGACAGCTTCCGCCCCGGGCCAGTAGGGGGAGCGCCGTGGCACGTGCCCCGTGTTTGGGCCACGGGCAGTGGCGTGGAGAAGCGAGGATGAGCACAGGTGGGGCGGTTCCCCCAGCAACATCCTGGCCTTTGCAGGAGGCCCCGCCCATAGCCGCCTATAAACAATGGCCTCGGCCTGTGGGTCCTGCGCTCCCGGGGCTCAGAAAGAAAGACCCCGTAGCCCGCCCCAGGACCTGACACCCCCTGTCCTTGTCCTCCGGCCTCCTGGGTGCAGCCCAGCGTTGGCGTCCCTCCTGATGGCGTCACCCCCCGGGGCCAGTTCCCTGAATTCACTGGGCCAGCCCGCACCCGGCTCCCACCCCAGCCACCCGCTGGGGGCGCAGCCAGTCCTTCCAGAACAGTCAGGATGAGGACCCCTGCCCTTCCCACGTGAGCAACACCAGGGCCTCTGCCTTCAGGAGCCGCCAGGTGGCCCTGGCCTGCAGCAGACCAGGGTGGGGCGTGACCCTGACCCCTCAGGACGTCCCCACGGAGCAGCTGCACCTGTGTCCCCTCAGCCGGTGGGCCCCGGAGAGGGAGACAGGCAAGACACTCCCTGCTGGGCCCCTCTGTGGGGGTCCAGGCTGCCATTTGGCTTCTGCCACTACAAAGAACGTCCCTGTGATGCTATGTGACGCTATCGGGGCCCATGCACAGAACGGCCTTGTCCTCTCTGTCATCGCCTTCCCTCAGCCCCCAGCACCTGACGGGGAGCAGGAGCTGATGGCAGCCAGTCCCCTGCCTGGGTGGGAGCCTTGGCTCACTCAGTAGGCGGCGGACTTCCTGGGTGCTTGGCCACGCCCCATCACAGTCCCCCTACTCATGTCACCTGGATGCAGGTACAGCCCTCCTCCCTGAAGCCCCCACGAGGGGTCCCCTTGGTGCCACAAGGACCCCAGAGGCACCTGCATGTACCACGTGGTCTCACCCTCCTTGTCCCCAGCGTCCAGCAGGACCTCAGGGGACATCTGGGGGACGGATGAACGCCACGGGAGGTCCCCAGGCCCGGGATCCCAGGCAAAGTGGCTTCGCGGTCCCTCTGTTGGCTGGGAGCCACCTCGGAGGGCACTGACCTGATGGCAGGTGGGCCTCCTGGTGTTTGGGCAGGAAGGAACTCAGAACAGGGTCAAGTTCATGGCCCGCTGTCCAGGGGGTGTTCCTTCTGCCGGCGGCTCAGACAGAGCAGAGGCCATGGCTCGCTCCTCCACGAGGCACTGAGCCGGCTTCCAGGGGCAGGGGTTTGCGGGGGGGAGGGAGTCTCCAGGTGGAGACAACAGTTCGGGGGCGGGGGGGGCGTGTGTGTCCTGAGTGGGGGCGGCTGGGGCAGGGGCGCGGACTGACCGGCCTCCGCCCTGCTCTGCAGGCCCAGCGACGAGCACCACCCGGAGGTGAAGGCTGACGGGCACGTGGGCAACCTCGCGGAGGCCGTGGACCTGCTGCTGCAGCACGCGGACAAGTGACGGGCCTTCGGGGAGGGCCCCTGCCTCCAGCACCCCTCCCCCAGGCCCAGACCCCCCCCAGGCCCCACCCGCAGGGGAGAGCGCCCCTCCCTGTCTAATCACTCCCCCACCCCAACCCCCGTGACCCCCGCCTCCCAGCAGTCAGCAGTGCATCCCCCGACACCCTGCTCCCCTGCCTGCCTGCGCAGCCCTGGTGAAGCTGGGGTGACAGCAGGGGGACGGGCCCCGAGAGGGTGCTCCGGGGGTGTCCGGGACACCCAAGTCCACACGCGCTCATGAGCGCCGGTCTGCAGCGCTCCTCCCGCCTGGACCCCACGGCGGCCGCCCACGGCCGCTTCATCAAACGTCCTTGGCACTGTGGCGAGGAGCCCAGAGAAAGCGGGCACCTCCCTGGGGTGGCCCAGTGACCGGCCCTGCCCAGCCCCCGCCAGGACTCAGAGTGGCTGCTGAGCACCCCCCAACACATTCACACCATGCTCACCCACCCCTTCCCTGTCCCCACAAGTTCCCTGGGGAGCCAGAAGCCGGGGCAGCTCCCAGGGGCACTCGGAAGACCACGTGCTGTGAAGACAAGAAAGCCGACCCCTGGGGTCAGGGGTGCAGGTGCAGAGGGCACTTTGTAGAGCCGTAACCTGGTAGACTTGAGTGTGTCGTGCCCACTGTACGCAGGAGACAGTTCAATAAACCACCCTGACCTGCGGCCGACTCGACTGCCCAGGGCCGTGGGTGGGGAGGTGTGGGCGGCCCCTGCTCCTACCCTGTGCTCGAACCACTGGACCGCAGAGGGCCCGGGCCCTGATTGAACAGATGGGGAAACAGGCCAGCCTCGAGGGGGACCAGGTGGACTGCGTGAACGTCATCAGCCTTCCCTCCCAACAGCCCCGTGGCCAGCGGCGGGCAGCCCGACGCCTCCCGATCACGCGGAGCCCCGTTCAGGTTTGGGAAGCAGGCGTCAGCCCATGGCTAACTGGATCAGTCTGCTTCTCTCCAAATCGGTCTGGAAGCCACGGACCCATCTCGGGAGACAGCGTCTCATAAAAGCAGCCCTGGGTCCCCTGGGTCCCCTGGGTGGGGTCGCCTGGGACGGGATTCCGGCTGAACGAAAGCAGACAGGAATAAAACGCTGGACCCCAAAACCTGAGCCCCCGGCACGACGGGGACCCAGCCGGCAGGCAGGCAGGCAGGTGTCGGCCAGGAGCAGGAGTGAGCTGTGGTGGTGACCGGCTTTTTACCAAGACGCGAGGCCCCTGAGCCAGTGCCGCCGGCCCACGGGGAGGGGCGGGGCGTTCAGCCTGTTGGCTGGGACAGATGCAGATCACCTGCTCTCGGACGGGGCCCTCCGCACAGCCCCTCAGCACAGCTCGCTGGGGAGCCCAGGTGCAGCGGCTTCGGAGGGCGGCTTGGCGGGGGCGGGCTGCCGAGTCTGTCCTGCTTGTTTTCTTCCCCTTCTCGTGGCAGACCCCCGCTTTGTCTGGGCAGAGAACACGCCCCTCTACCCCCCATGTGGGTTCGGTGGAGTGGAGGCTGTCACCTCCCCTTCTTGCATGTAAGGACACGGAGGTGCTGGGAGAGCGGCCCGCCTGCGGGCTGACTGTTGGTGAGGGCGAGGCCCAGGCGCACACCCAGCTGCACTCCCATGTGGGGGCGGGGGAGGGGCAGTTCTGGTGGCCCCGTGGCTGTGAGTCCCCAGGCCAGTCGGGGCCCTGGCTCCCTCCTTCTGGAGATGAGATGTGTTCAGAGTCGGGGTCTGGCCCTCGGCCCGGGGAACGGCACGTGGCCCCCGAGCCTCAGCCACCTCATGCTTTCCGCAGCAGACCGTCACGGCGCGGCTGGGGGCCAGGCCGCGCCAGGTGTCCTGTCATTGGGACGGTGACCCCTGTCCTGTGCCACCCTGGGCCCCTCCAGGTCCCTGCCCTTGGCCTCCTGCAGACCTCACGCCCCCAGGCAGGGCAGGCAGACTTCTTGGGCCACCACAGATGGCGCCACTGGCCACAGGTGCAGCTGGAGTTCAGGGCCGACCCGAGGCAGGAGCTGAGTGGCGTCTGGCCCCCACCCCCAGGTGTGCGTCGGCCACCAGGCCCAGGAGGGTCCAGCACCTGCTCCCGCTCCGGTGGAAAGGGCCCCTCAAAGGCGCGGGAAGGGCACAGAAAAGGGGGGGCAGGGAGGGCCTTGTGTGCCCACCTCCTGGCCTAGGGTGATCTATCCATCGTTCTGGCTTCCCCTCTCCAAACGGCCCGTTTAGACAAACATGTTGGGCGCTCCGTGTCACCTGTTTTCTCAGGTTTCGATCATCCTTTTCGATTGTAAAAACAATAGGTGTTACCGTAGGAAACTCAACAGAGAAACATAAAAAGAACCCCCCAGTCACTCAGAGAATGACTTGAGATGTGGGGCCACTTCCTTTCCCCGTGGAGACAGGTGTTTGCAACCGCCGGCATCGCGCGGTGCACCTGGAGCGGCCCGGGGCTTGTTGGGCGCCGACTCTCGTTTAAGCCCCACAGGTGCCGCGGCTCAGCTCCACGGAGACCGGCCGCGTCCGATGCGGGAGCGAGAGGGCCCGGTGGGGGGCCGTGTCCCGGCTTCGGCAAACCGGGAGCTGCGGGAGGGGGTGGCAGTGCCCAACCCCCGCCATGGGGGCCCCGGGGCAAGAAGCAGGACACTCGCCCCCTGGGCGAGCTGAGCTGGAGAGCAGACGCTGCTCCCCAGGGGCCGGATAGAGCCCAGCCAGCGACCTTGTCCAACGAGGGCAGGTAAGGGACTCGCGCTAGAGGTCTGTCCAGGCCCACGCCGTGTCTGCCCTGCAGGACGGGAACCTGGGCAGACTCCCTGGCCTCTGCTCTGCCTGTCACAGGGGGTGGGAGGCTGGCCCCCTGGGTCCCTGGCTGGGGCCGGGGCCCCCTCACACAGAACATCAGCCACACCGGCCTCCCTTCACCTTCACCGGTTCCATGCACCAGGCGGTCCTGGACCATTCAGTCTGTAAAGGGGTCTGCTGCTAAACGGAGAAGGGGCGGAGTCCGGCAGCCCCAGGGGGCCCTCTGGGGAGAGGAGCACCCTCGGGCCCTAGCACATGCCCCAGGCAACCCTGTGGTCGGAGCACGCGGGCCAACACTGGGGTGCGTCAGCGAGACCGGTCTCCCCGGCCGGCCGCAGGCTGCACCGAACCGGTCTTCCGCACTTGGTCAGCCAGGGGTCCTGGATTTGGAGGGGCAGACACAGAGACCGTGTGCCCCACTTCCCACACGGCGCAGGGGCGAGCCATCCTGTGCTCCGTGGGCTGTGGCGCCCAGCCTGTGCCACCTCCTTGGCCACCGTGGTGGGCCAGCGGCCCGGTGGGGCTCTAGGCCGGGCCTGGCGCACCGTGACCTGTAGCCAACCGCCGTGTGCCTGGCTACACCCGCGGGGCTGCCGAGGGCTGCGCTGACGCCCTCCCAAGGGCTCTGAAAGGCACATTGCCCCACGGCTCTGGACTCGGACATTTACGGAGGGGGCGTCTGTGTTCCGCTGTGCTGGGGCCCCGGGCTCCCGGCTGGAGAGAGGAGCCGAGACCCTCCACCGCCAGCACGTACACAACAACCCCAGCACGCACACAACCCCCCAGCACGCACACAACCCCTCAGCACGCACACACAACCCCTCAGCACGCACACAACCCCCCAGCACGCACGCAACCCCGGGCACCGGGCTCCCCAGGCGGCACGTCCAGAAACCCCGCCACCACCGTCGCGGCCCTGGCCAGCCCTCCCCCCCCCCACGGTCACTCACGCAGCCCCTGCACCCAAGCCTCTCAGGAGCCTGGAGACGTCCGCTACCGCCCTTTTACAGACCCCAGGCTGAGGTTCAGAGGGGACAGGAGGGTCCAGGCGCTGCCCCAGTCACAGGGGCCCCGCCGACCAGCCCCACCCGACAGAAACCACACACAGCTCCTGGCGGGTGGACATTGAACCAGGAAGCTTTATTTACACAGTAAAAGTAACAAGCGAATTCCTGAGACTAGAGCAGCTCTGGCGCGAGACGGCTCGGCCTGCGCGGAGGGCGGGCCGCGGTGGGCGGCAGGCCCGGCGCCTCGGGCCCACAGGTCGCTCTGCCCGGGGTGGGGCCCGGCCTGACCCCACGTGCCCTGGCCACCACCCTTCCCGAAGGACGTCCTGTTTCAGGAGAGCCCACCGTGGCCCCCAAACAGCCCAGCGCTGTCACCTAGCACCGGGACATCCCCCCACACACTCCGCACACCGTTGACTGGCCAACGAGACTATGCTAGGAGGTCCCACTACCCTACCTACGCTACAAGATCTCCGCTGCAGTCGGGGACTTCACTTCTCATCCCTTTTCTTTCTCTTCAAAGAGGCGTGGTTTTCTGGGGCCGGCACCAACAGGCGGCGCTTGACCGACTGTGCGGCTGTGGCGGGAGGCGGCCCATTGCTTATGGGGGAACAGAGCGGCTGCTGGGGGGGGGGGGCACTGGCCCCGCCCAGTCGCAGAGCCTGGAGTGGTCACAACTTAGGCAGGTGGCCCAAGGCCAAGGGCATGGCTCCAGCCTCACCAGCGGACATGGAGGTGCGGCACGTGGGGAGCAAGCCCGAGCTGTGGCAGGCCCCCCCGGGGGACGGGGGGTTCAATGCCGTGGAAGCTGCTCAGATGGTCAGTGCCCTGAATGCTGGGGTGTGGGAACCCCACACCCCTCCCCCCGGCACGGGGAGACTCATGTGGACGTTTGGTTTTGTTTTTATCATGTGGGCTTTTGCTTTATTGAAATTTTCTTTCAGCATACAAATTCACAAAACTTTCCTGCTACAAAAACTGTGTGGAAAAGTAAGGCTTTCTGAGAATGAAAATCCGTAGGTATGGTCAGAACAGGGTCCCCCGTGGCCTGCATGTCACGTGTGCCTGTGGGCCCGGGGCCCGGCCACTGAGAGTAAGGCAAGAGGGTTTGCGGCAATGTAAACGGGGTGGGGGGCTGGAGCCCGCAGCCTGCCCAGCCCCCGCAGGCAGGCGGCAGCCCCTGGGAGCCCAGCGGCCTTGGAGGGCGCTCCTCGGGGACGAGTGGGGATGCCATGTGACAGCAAGCCTCTCCTCCCCACCCAGCTCCCCAGGAGCCACGACCCCAGCCCCGTCCCCCGGGACCCCCAGGGTAGGCACAGCCCTGGCTCCTGCTCCGACTTCCTCGCACCCCCCAGAGGCGGGAGTTCATGGGCATCAGATGCAAGAGGCAGGACGCGGACGAGAGTGAGGCTCCTGCAGGGCGAGCGGCCGGTCTGCCCGCTGCCCTTGGGGGCAGCCACACAGGGTCCGAGGGAGCCCCCAGACCAGAAAAGGCCCCCCTGGGCAGTGGGGCAGGGCCTTCCAGATGACGTCTGCTCTCTGCAACCGAAGGACAGGTAGGGAACCAACCGAAGGCCACACCCTTCCCTGAGCAGAAGGGACACGGGCCGTGCTCTGCCCTCGGTGCAGCCGCTGTGGGCTCGGGCCTGGGACAGGAGCGTGGCAGGCACAGCCCGGAGGGGCCAGAGGGGCTGCAAAAGGCCCAACCCCGCCTCAGGCTGGGGTCCCCCCTGCCTGGAAGTGCCCCGGGGCTGGACCGCTGGTCCACAGGGAGGTCACCTGCACCACAGCCCCGTGACACCCACCGCCATGTGCCTCCCTCCCTGTCCCCCAAGGAAAGGCAGCTGGGGGCTGCCACCCAGGCCCTCACTGGGGTCACCTGCGGAGTGGGTGAGGGGGTGGGGCCCTGCCACTCCTTCCACAGGAGGAGATGCTTAGAGGCTGTGGTCCCTCTGTGGTCACTCTTCTCGGTGTGGGCCCAACGCCAGCACCCCCACCCCAGGCCTCCTGGGGACTCAGGGAGGCAGCAGTGCTCTCCAAACTCACCCGCCCCCCGCCTCTGGGTTTCTGCTAAGACGCTGCAGCCCCCACAACCCGCCAGGCGGGGGTCAGCCGAGATGCCCTCGTCTGCCCGGAGCCCCCAGCCCTCTGGTGTGGCGCTCTGCGGTCCGGAGGGGCTGTGCCTTGGGTGAGAGCCACTCGGGCAGTGAAGCTGGTGGGCGCCCCCGGCCCTGCACGCACCCCGTGCTCCCCAACCAGAGGCTTCCACGCCATCTCCCAGGCCACTGATGGGGCTCCCTGCGAGCCTCTAACAGCTGGTTTGCAGGAAAAGCCACCGGTGCTCCGGAACCTGAGCCACCGCCTCCGGTATGAAAAAGCGAAGGTTGCAGTAAAGCTTCCCACGAGAGTCCCCCTTTAGGGAGAAGAGGGGCGGCGTGAACCTGCAGAAGTGAGGGAGGCCTTTGCTATGAACAGAGGCGCAAAGCGGAGCGACTGGCGCACCGCCCGAGTCGCGTGTGGGCGGCTCCGGAGAGCACGGCGCCGTGCGCAGCCGTTTGGGAAAAGAAGCCCGTGGCTCCTAAGCTGACTGATTGCCACTGGACTGCCTGTGGGAGAGGCCGGGTTTGCTCAAAGCCCGATTCCAGGTGGGCAGCCCCCACCTGGGGCGTCTGCAGCAGGTGGGGCTGGACGGGAGCTGCCTGAGAGGGAGGAGCCAGGAGCTGGGGAGGGGGCGGGCGCACCTCACGCTCTGAGCCTGCGCAGGGGAGGTGGCAAGGAGGCGGCACTGACACTCTCTGCCCCCCCAGTAGTGGGGGTTGGGGGGTTGCCTCGAGGTGGATGGGCCATCCTGATAAAGCCGGCTGCCCCTCCCCTGCCCCCCGCCCACCGAGGAGAATGTACCTGGAACCCTGCGGGGACCCGGCCCCCGGCATGGCCAGCAGACCCCGCCAACCCTGAACTCGCCCAGGGCCTGGCCTGTGCGCCGGTTCACAGCGCCCGCCTCCCGAGGGTGTTTCCCAGAGGTTGCCCTTCTACGGCCACAAGTCTCCGCTCACCTGAATCAGCTAAGCGCATCCCCCAGGTGACAGGCCGGCACGGGGAGTGGCTGCCACCCGCCGACCCTGCCGAAGCAGCCCCAGAGCGGCAGAGAGCCACGGGGCCGGGTTCCCCACCCACGGGGGCGGTGCGTGGGTCTGTCTGTCTAGCCAACAGACCCACCCAGTGTCTGACGTAGAGCGCCCCAAGTTGTCCCCTGGGCCCTGAGAGTTCCAGCGTGGAGGGCCACCCCGGCACCCCGGGCCCATCTCTCACACTTGGGATTAAGGCCGAACGGTTCCGGTGTTACTACTGCAGGGGGAGGCGGCCCCCGACCTCCCCGAGCGCGCAGCAGGGAGGCCCGGGGGAGAAGGCACAGATAAGGCTGAGTGAGAGAACCTGCAGGGCCGACTCCCCGCCAGACAGGACCTGAGCAGGAGGCGGGGAGGGCCCCGGCAGCCCCGGGGGGGGCTCGCGCCCCCCTGCACGGGGCCGGGAACCCCAGCCAGGGCCGGCGTGCCGAGCAGGGCCGGGAGACTGTTCAGGGGGCCCGGCCAGTGTCCCACGAGGAGAAAGGGGAGGCGGACCCACCCCTAGCAGCCGCTCTGGCGGCCACCGCAGTCCCACAGGCTGTGGCGGCCATGCTGGTGAGAGCCGGGCGCTCCGCTCCCCCGAGCCGCGCGGCCAGGGCCCCGGCAGGCGGGACAGCCTCTCCGGGAGGCGGGTGGGCTCACGCCCCGGGACCCGACGCCTTCCAGGAAGCTTCTGTCAGGCCCAGGAGTGGGGCGCCCCCCTTCAAGTGACCACCGGGTGCCCGGAGGGGGGCTGGGGACCCTCACGCACCCCACCCCGACGGGGGCCCGCGGCCCCTTCAGTTGTTCTCTATCTGTTCGATGTCCAGCTCGCCGTCCAGGGAGCAGGGGCTGCTCTGGGCAGCCCCGCGGTCCCGCCAGGCCGAGGCCGGCTCCCCCCGCCGGCCGAAGCCCTCGTCCAGGGCGCCGCCGTCTGACTCCTCACAGCTCAGCTCCTCCCTGCAGGCGAGGTGGTCGTCCAAGGGCGGGGGGAGAGGCTCGGGGACTGGGGTCCCGGCGGGGGTCCTGCCGCCGGGGCCGGGGGCCGAGGCCGAGAGCAAGGCGGTCCAGGACCTGGTGCTGCTGACGTGGAGAGCAAAGGGGCCGTGCGGGCTGCCGTCGTCCGTCCCGGAGCTCAGGCAGCTGAGGCTGCTGAAGGTCTGACAGTTCTGTGGGGGGACAGACACACGGGTCACGAAAGGTCACGCTCCCTTCCCACAACCAAAGGACCGCCCGCCCCACCAGGCCAGGCCCGAGACTCAGGGGAGGGGAGTCCGCCAGGTGGTAGGAGGCCACCCGAACCCCTCCGCTGTGTCGGCAAGGAGAAGGGGCTATCGGCCATCCGCTCACGAAGAAATGCCACGGCCAACATGTGTTATGTTAATGAAGAAATGCAGCATTCAGTTATCCCCCCCGCAAGGGCCAGAGAGCGCAAGCCTGCTGCCACTGGGCTCTGGGGGGGCCGTGGGGGCCTCGGGGACCACCTTCCCCAGGGTGATCTGGTACAAGGGCACCAGGTTCCTTTAGGCAAGTTCACTTCTGGGATGTTCACGTGAAGGAAACAGCTGAGGGCACAAGCAAGAATTCAGGCCCGTGCGTATCCCAGCCACACCGTCCAGCAGAGAGAGGGAGGAACCCACACCCCGCGCGGCCCCAGCCCCGAAGGCCGCCCTCTCAGACTGGGCAGGCTCTCGAGCCGCTGCAAGAACATTCCACAGCGAACCAATGGACGCAAATGGAAACTCGCCAGGCTGCACCGCCGCAATGCACCGAGGGGCAGGGTGCCTACCCCACCCACCCTCAGCGCCCAGGGCGGGGGCGGTGCCGGGAGAGCCCGGCGGACGTCTGCCTGGTGCTCAGTGCAGCCATCCAGGCAGCCGATTTCCACAGGAACCCAGGCCCCGCCTGGAGATGCAGAGATGCTGGCTCTTGGGGGGCAGGGGGGACGGATCCCGGACCTTCCAGGGGCACTCGGCTGGCAGGGGCTGCAGGGCTCACCAGCCGAGGGTCTCCGGCCGCCCCACAGCTGCCCCGGTCCTCGGCTGCCTCATCTGCGTGAGGCCAGCGATGGGCCTTGTGAGGCCCCCAGTGCGGCGGTGTGGCTGTCCGAGCTCCCGGCCTGCGGAGCTGTCCTCGTGGGCATGCCCGGGAGGGCCCCAGGCTCGGTTTCAAGCTCGGCTTCCGTCAGCCTGGAATTCTGAAATTTCTGAGAAGGGCCCTCACACTTTTTCGCTCTACACCGGGCCCACATGTACGTGGCCAGCCTCGCATGTGAAGCTTACTACCCTTGCTGTCTGAGCTTAGAAGGACCACCCCCCCACACACACCTCCCATCCCTCTCACCCACAGCTGCCTCCCTGTGGGGCTGGCCTGTGGAAGGAGGCACCCCGGGGCCTGCCTGAGCAGTGGGTGCAACTTGAATGCCACCCAAGGGTGCGCAGGCCACCTGCCATGAAAGGGGGCAGCCAGGCACGGTGTGCAAGTGGGCGGAGCTAAACATCTGCTTTCACAGCAGAGCACAAAACTGGGACGGGGGCTGCGGCAGCCAGCCCAGGAGGTCCCCAATGGGACCAGGAGCCATGCAGCGCCTTCCAGGGGGTAAGACAGAAGGGCGGGCATCGGCGGGGGTGGGGGCGGCAGGGGACACGAGGGGAGGCCCAGAGCAGCGCCACACGCCCCCTGATGTCCAGATCACAGCCCGTCCCGAGGGCCCGGGCCCTTTCACGGCCCAGTGTCTGGGCGCCGCTCTGCAATAACGATGACCACCAGCTGTCACGGGAAACAAGGTCCGGCGAATGGAACATAAAAGGCACTCCAGATGTCCCCAGGTGAGAACACAAACGTGAGGCTGCACGGGTGGAAGCCCCCCTTCCTACAACCGGGCGGGGCGTCCCTGAGGCCCTTCCTGCCCCCCCCAGCCACCGCCTCCACTGCCCAGGACAGGAGGGGAGCTGGCTGCCAGGCAGGTGGCCCCCAGCCACCTCAGCTGCATCCTGACCTAGCTGGCCGGCCTCCCCCAACCGAAGGGGCTCAGAGCACAGCCGAGCGGGGGCTTCTCCGCCCTGCAGAGTGGGGGCAGGTGGCCACAGGGCCCTTTTAGAAATAATGCCATCCAGCCCTGGCTGGTGTAGATCAGTGGATTGAGCTCGGGCTGCGAACCAAAGCATTGCAAGTTCGATTCCCAGTCACAGCACATGCCTGGGTTGCAGGCCAGGTCCCCAGTGGGGGCCATGTGAGAGGCAACCACACATTCTCTCTTTCTTCCTCCCTTCCCCTCTCTAAAAATAAATAAAATCTTTAAAAAGAAAATACCGTCCAGGGTGGGCCTGAGGTGCCGCGCACGGCTCACAGGCGATGCTGAGACACGGACAGCCTCGGCCTGTGGGGACCCCCACGTCCGCTCACCCCAGCGTGCTGAGCACCTGCACGGGGCTCCGGCCTCCCGAGCTGCAGCGTGCGGACAGTGGGAAGCACTGGCGTGAACAACGGACCAGGAAACGCTCCCCGGCCTGCGGCTGCCTTCCCCGGCCGCTCCGATCGTCCTGCCTGACACTGCGGCCAATGTGACGGCACCTGGGCGCCGGGGACCCCGGCCTGCTGCTGGGACTGCCCGGAGGTGCAGCTCTGGCCTCGGGGCCCCGGACAGGGCTGAGGTCAGGCAGGCTGTTACAGCCCCGGGCTCTGCCCAGACACGGGCATCACGACTTCAGACAACACCCCCTGCTCTCTGGCCTTGGCCTCACTGCCCAATAAGGCGGGTGGGCCAGGGGCACCCAGGGCACCTGCTCTGGCCGTCTGAAGTAACCGGTCCTTGCTTTGCAGCAGGGCAAGCAGCTGAGAGGTCTGGTTGGTGAATGTCTTCAAAAGCCAACCCCAAGAGGCCATTGAATGCCCCCAATAGCCCTCAAGGCACCTGCTCCTTGGCCACAATGCCAGTGTCACCTTGAAAACTTTGTTGACTCAAAACCCAGCTGCAGTGAAAGCCAAGCCCCGCCTGTGCATGATAAATGCCCCAGGCGGTGGCACGCCCCTCCTGCCGGGAGGAATGGGGCGGCCACAATGGGGCCGTGTGTGTCCTGCCCCGACGCCACCCCTGGAGAGTCCACCCCACGCTGACACCCAGGGCGCAGCCCACGCCCAGCTCCCACAGAGGAATGCTGCGCGGGCCCGCTGGAGGCCCGGAGGCCTGCGTGCCCTCGGAAACGTGTGGGAAACCTGCAAAGCTGTAACAACTTCAAAGCACCACGTGAACACGGCGTTCCAGGTGCTGCGGGACACTCAGTCCCACGCTGTCCCAGACAAGGGTCACCTGGCTTGGTTGGGCACAGGTGTGCCCACGTAAAGAGCTCAGGCCGCCCACGTGGCTGCGGGCTCCTGGCTGAAAACAGTGGTCGGCACCCCAGTCCTGGAGTCTGAGCTGACTGAGGAGCACAGCCCCTGACAGCCGCTCCTCCCCTGAGTGTTGGCCCCCACCCCACCCCACCCAGTCGGTCTCCGGGGCTTCCCCACCCAGCCGTTCCGTTCGCTCCTACACTCTCCTCCGGGCAGGAGGCACCTGGACGGGCCTGGAGAAAGACACAGTAGTGGGGGGGGCGGGGGGCGGGGGGGGCGGGGGGCGGGGGGCGGGGGGCGGGGGGCGGGGGGGGCGGGGGGGCGGGGGGCGGGGGGGGCGGGGGGCAGGCCCCAGCCAGGGCCCGGCCCCTAGGGGTCCAGCGCTGCCCCAGGCTTCGGAGGTCCACATCCAAGCAGCTCCTCCTACTGCAGAGCTCCCCGTGGGGTGCCGCTGAGGCCGCTTCCCGTCCTGCCCACTCCCCTCACCGCCCCCCCAGGCGCTCTGAGGGCCTCCCCACCCGGCCCAAAGCCCCCGTCTCAGGCCCTGCGTCTGGGCACCCACCTAGGACGGGCAGCGAAAGCACTCTGCACGCCCCTGCTCATGGGCACTGTGGTTCCTCCCGGAGCAGCAGCGCAGGCCGGGTCCGAGGCCGGCCGGCAGGTCCCGGCAGCGGCCCAGCCGTGGGAACCAGCCTGCCTCGAGCCTGCAGGGCGGGGTGGGGGGGGGCGCGGTTTCTGAGAGTCACCTCTCACCCTGGCCTTGGGGCACACGCGCCTGCCTCCCCAGCCAGCACACTGGCCCTTCTCAGTGCCACCTCCCTCACCTCAAACCAGGGTGACGGGGCTCCTTGTGCCACAGACTTGGGGTAGGATGGACCCCACCTGCTGGTCAGCACGCTCGGACCAGGTGCCCCGCCTGGCCGACGCCTCCCGGAGCCCGAGGCCCCTCTGCCGGGCCCAGGGCTGGGGCCCAAGGGAGGCGTCCCCTCCCCACACCGACACTCACGTGAGGCCGTGAGACGGAGCTCTCCAAGTACCGAGAAAACACCCAGCCGTGAGAATGGCTAGCGGCCTGGAAATTCTCTGAGTCTCGTTCATGCTGGAAGCTGGAGCGGAGACAACGAAGACTGCGAGGCCTGTGGTTTCCTGGGTTGTTTTTTTTTTTTTTTTAACTATCTCGGAAAAGAGGAAAAAAAGCACCAGAATATTTCTGGCCTATTTTGAATCTACTCTGACAAATCTGAACCATGCACGGAGGCTGGGCCCTCTCGCAGGAAGCCCTGGGCCCCAGAGGTTGGCGGGTGGGGGGCGGCCTCCCCCCACAGCTGCCCTGAGCTGGCGCCGCAGGGGGGCCGAGTGTCCAGCAGGTGCTGGAGGTGCCCTGACTGGGGGCTGTTTCTGCGAAAGGCTCCACTTTTCTTACCCCCGAAGGGGCAGCCTCTTGCTGGACGGCTTCCCCGCCCTCAGGAATGAGAGGAACGGCCGCCAGGCTGCTGAGGCCTGAACACAGGGAAGAGAGCAGCCCTGGGGGAGCCCCAGGGCCCGGCGAGCACCCCGACCTCGTGAGGGATGCTCAGGCTTTTCCAGGCTCTTCCCCCAAAGATCACGGGTTTGAGGATCAAACAGCCGGAAAGGGGGGGCAGGAAACGTCTGTTGGGGGGATGGCTCTGGGCTGCCACCAGGAAGCCCGGGCCTTCCTGAGCCTCTGTTTCCTCGGCTCGCTGTGCGGAGGCTCAAGGTGTTCACTGGGCGCCCGCCCCCCAGCGGGCTCCTCTCACCCACCGGACCAGGCCCTGCGGGCCTCCCTCTGGAAGCCAGGCACGTGCTGCGGGCACCC